TTACTATCTTAGAAAAATTCTGTATTTGAATTCTTCATAATGCGACTAAAAAGTAAGATATTGAGACAAAAAGAATACATTTTGAAGAGGATAAACAATACATTCATGACTTCTGATTACAATTTCGAAGTAATGTTAATCTATTTTTACAAATATTTTAAACAAAAAAATATTTTAAAATATTTAAAATTTAAAAATATTTTAAACAAAAGAGTTATTTTTGTACATTAAATCTCAATTATTACGAAAACTGATATGCTAATGAAATTTAACTTGTGTCGTTTTCAATATTCAAAAATCTAAAAAAATACCTTATTTGATTAAAAGAAACATATTTTTGTAAATTAATATTATCTTTATTCACCGTTTTTGAATGTAGCACCAAATCCATTTATCGACATTACGATTTTATCGACAGTGGTGAAAATATGATACATCGTTTACATCATTTACATCGTTTATAAAATTGATGTTGGTGCTAGAGGACGGTGACTTTCGCCTATCACGCGAAAAAGGCCGCCATAACTTCTCTCAAGTTTCTCTCTGCTAATCTATATACAGTCTATATACAGTCTATATACACAATCAGATTGGTTGGCATTTTTTATTTTTTTTTGTGGCATTGTGCAACGGCAGACGACAATTATATATCACTTATTTTTGTAATATTTCTATTGCTATTCTCTCTCGCTGTTGCTTCGTATTGTGTTTAGAGCATAATGCACATGTACCACTCTATTTGCCAGCGTTTCATTTCGTTCGTTGATTGTATGAATGCTATAGCATATGCAGAATGTAACGGTCCGCACGATTTTTCAGATACTTCCACAGTTAAAAAAAAATTAAATAGTGAATATTCTTAAGACTTCCACGGATCCTTTCTATATAAAAATTATGCGTTTCACGGGTTTCTTCCGTGTCCAGATTCATTCTTGGAATGCCATTTCGTGAACCTTACAGTTTACTTCATTAGGGCGAGGAGCAGCCTGATACTAAGGTATTCGAGATCGTTCCTCTTTTATATATTTATGCTCCTTGTTGAAGTGGTGGAAGAAAAGAAAAGAATTGTGGGGAGTGGGGTAGGGGTGGGGGAAATCGATTAATCAGGAGAATAGTTTTCTATTTATGTTTTTTATTTATGTTGTAGCCATTATCTCTAGTTAGATTATTAGGGTGTTTTTGTATTTCTATGGCTTCCCTATATTTTTTTGGAAAATATGATGTAATGTTGGCTATTGTGGTTGTTTTGTCAAACAGTAGATTGTCCTATCCTATCCTATGTCCTATATAAGATTTGTCTTATCTTTTTGGGTGGTTTAAAAATAGTTCGGATATTGTTTAATATCCTATCAATCCGATGTTGACATATGGGAGAATAGATAGTACTTTGATTGTGTGTGTCAGAGATCGTTGTCTTGTTTGCATGTTTATTGATGTGTTTTTTTCATGTCCCTTTTTCTATAAGGCTGTTTTTAAGTGATTGAATTCTGTCTATAGATATTCTTCTCAGACTGAAAGCTCTATGTACAAGTGAATGGATTGCACTGTTTTTGTGCTGGGTAGTGGTGTGACTCAGCATGTAGGTATCTATCTGTGTATTGATTTTCTGTACACTTGATGGCCTAAGGTACCGTCAGCTTTCTTAGAGATAAAATCATCTAGGAAAGAAGTTTTCCGTTTTTCTCTATGTCTATAGTGAAGTGAATATTTGAATGTTAATTGTTGAGGAAAATAAGGAATTTATGGAGCTCTGCCGTATCTCCATATCACGAATGTGTCGTCTACACTAAACGGAACTAAACTTTTGGTTTTTTGAGTGTTTTTCTGAGGGCCTCTTTCTCAAAATGCTCCATGAAGATATTGGCGACTACAGGAGAAATAGGAGAACCTACTGCTGCTCCTGAAGTTTGTTCATAAAATTGGTTGTTATAGGAGAAGTAAATGATTGTTAAGCAGTGCTCTATTAGCGAGATGAAGGGGACTTCATGTGAGGCCTTTATTTTGTTTAATGTATCTTTTATTGGGACTTGTGTAAAAAGCGATTCTATGTCGAAACTTACAAGCAGGTCTGTGGGACGTAGTCGGATTTTTTGGATCTTTTGTATGAAGTTCGTTGAGTTAATTATGTGTGATTCGGATTTTCCAGTGAGGGATTGTAGTGTTTGTGCTAGGAAGCGGGATGTTGTATGTCGGGGACCTACATATCCTCTCCCACCTAGACTATACGGACCACACAAATCAAACATCCAACTAAGATCGATTGTTAGCGCCATACACTCCCTGACATACAACTTATCCCGCTTCCTAGCACAAACACTACTTCACTGGAAAATCCGAATCACACATAACTAACTTCATACAAACTTCACCTCCAACAAGTAGCGTGAATATGTAAAAGGGGAACGACCTTAGGAGGAACAGCTCCTCGCCCTGATGAAGTGAACTGCAAGGTTCACGTAACGTTGGCATTCCAAGAATGGATCTGGACACGGAAGAAACCCGCGAAATGCCTAATCTTTAAATAATGAATATTTATTTATTTTATACAAACTACAACATGCGTTAAAAAAATTTAAAAGAACGAGTGCAAAAAAAAAAGAGATAGATAGCTACAAGCAGATGAGTAAAACTTAATGTCAAAGAAATTAGAAAACGCGCGTTCCAAGATCTCGGACAAAAAGAAACTTAACAAATTACAATTGCACATTCAGCTAATTGATCACCTCGATCGATTGGTTTCTTAATTGTCGTTGTATTGCCTGTCACATATTCTAATACTTTTTGCGGTCATATGAGAAAGCAATGGTTGCATTCAGCAGAGAAGCAGCTTTGAAATGATAAATTCTTCATTTGATTGGATTGGTTTAGATCTGTAAGAAACCAAAAGCAAGAATCAATTGTATTAAGACATTACTCAATAATGACATTACATAACAGTTGCAAAGCTTTCTCTGCTGAAAGCAGCCATTATCTGTTATCTCTTTCTATCTACGATTTTTGGTCCACATTTGCCAAATTCTGATTATAGAATCTCTAACTCAAAGCAATTCTTGCCCCACCTTCTCCCTTGGGAGCACCCGATTTTTTACGCAAAGCGAGATCTACTCCATCTCTTTTTCTCAAGGGAAATTACTGCTGAAATATATATCTTGTGTGCGAAAATTACATACTATTCACAAAACTTATTTTGTGAATAGTTTATAACTTTTTAATAAATAATGAGTGATGGAAAAAATCAGTTATCTCCTTGAGAATCAA